CTGTGAGGCAGATTTGTTCGGAACAGTCTGTAGAATCAAGTGGACGTATCAGTAAACATCTCTGTAAAACCCTTAAGTCACGAATATTATGAGTTTGCCTAAACTACACTGAAATGAGGACCCATCAGAAATCTATTTATGAAATAACAGTGAGTATTGTGAGCTGAATGCAGTTCGATTCATTCATTTGTTTTAAATGTTCTACATTAATCATACACACTGTAACTGACTTCTCGCCAGCATAGCTTAGCACAAAACACCTGCTCAACCATCCAGCTTTACACGAGCTTTTACTACCTAATTCGGCGATAACTCCTAATAAGCTCACTAATCATTTTCAGCCTTGTGTTGGTAATAGATGCTTCAAACATTACTTGTAGAAACTGGTTGGCTGAAACTCACCATATTCATTCAATTAGACAATCTAAATAATTTAGTAGTACAAAGGATAATGGTACCATCTTAAGTCATACAGAGAATATGGAAAATTCCCATTGTAATATATAGAAAATCAAAACAAGTGATTCAGCGAAGAGACTCTTTTCAACGAATTTATCATCAAGCTGTACAATCGTATATATATATGTATATATATATACGGTTTTAAGAAGTTATATCCGGCGAGGAATTTGAATCAGAGAATCTCTGTGTACAGAAAAAAGTTCATTCAGCCTCCCCAAATTTCATAGTCTTACTCCCTCTATGCTAAACTATGGTAATCCCTAATCATATTTTTGTCTCTAGTAACTTTTCATTTTTTCATTCAGTTGTCTTTTTAATAACTCCTATGACCCAATGTGTATATTCCGCAATTTTGTATACTTTGACTTTATTTCGTCAATTGTTACTAGTACTACTCTCACTTTGAACTGTCCCCGATATTATTTCAATTGTTCCACTTGTCATTCTAAATCAATTTCTCTTGAAACATCAAATTCTATGTTTACAAATTTCACACATTATTACGTAACGTGTTTTTATTCGATCTGCCTGTTAATCCTATAATTGCACACCCTTTCGAAGTTCAATCCATTCTGTGAATTATTCTATATATGACATTAATAGTTTTAAATCATGGAAAATTCCCATTGTAACATATAGAAAACTTTTAGAAAATCAAAACAAGTGATTCAGTGAAGAGTCTCTTTTCAACGAATTTATCATCAAGCTGTACAATCCTATATATATGGTTTTCTTTTTTAAGAAGTTATATCCGGTGAGGGAATTAAATCATAGGTGTGAATGCATAAAATAATAATAATAGAATGAAATGCAATTAAAACAAAAATGTTTGTGATTATAATCATAGTTAAATGTCAAGTGGCAAAACAAATTAATGTCACATATAGAATAATTCTTAGGATGGATTGAACTTGAAAAAGGGTGTGCAACTATAGCACTAGTAGACAAATCGAATAAAATAAAAAACGTTACGTAAAACTGTGTGAAATTTGATAACATAGAATTTAACGTTGTAAAAAAGAAGAATTGATTTAGAATGACAAGTGGAACAAGTGAAATAATGCCGGGGACAATTAAAAGTGAGAGTAGTACTAGTAACAATTGACGTAATAAAGAAGAGAATACAAATTGAATAGACAAAATAAAAAAATGAAATATTGGTCTAGCCAAAATATGATTGGGGATTACCAAAGTTTAGCATAGAGGGATTAAGACCATAAAAGTTGGAGGGGTTGAACAGACGTCTCCTGTATACAGAGATCTGGCTTTTCTGTTTCGATAGTCAAAGCTTCAGCGATGCAGATGAGTCGGGTACGTAGGGATTTCGGTAAATTACTCTTTGCCTTGTGGATGACTTTAAAGGCGGAGGCTATAGAGATAGGGTGATCATTATCAACCAGATGTTCAATGATCGTGCTTCTTATTGCTCCACTTTCACCTCTTAGTAACTATGCAGGGTTGTGTTTTTGTATCCTCTTGGACAAAACTCGAGTTAAACGACCGATATACCTAGCTTCACACGAGCAGGTGAATTGATAAACACACTTGACATTTAACTATGATAATATTCACAGACATTTTAATTTTCATCGCATTTCATACTATTATTATGAATTTATCCACTCACGCCTATAATTCAATTTCATCACCTGATATAAATTCTTAAAATAACCATACATATATAGACGATTGTACAGGTTGATGATAAATTCGTTGTTGAAAAGAGTCTCTTCCCTGAATCTTTTGTTTTGATTTTCTATACGAAGAATAAACCTAAAGTCAAAAAAGGGCAACGATATCATATTGTGATTCCTTGAGAATAACAAGCCTAACAGTGTGAACAGTAAAACAATCAATAGCTAAGTATATCTCAGGTGAGTTTCACTTGCTTGAAAATCATTGATGTGTCTATATCAACCTTGAGAATGAAATAATTATATGTTATTCTGTATCAGGATCAAAGTTCAAGTATTTTCAACTAAGATATGGAAAATTAAATAATAACGAAACAAAACTATAAATAATAAGTTTCCAGACCGTAGGTGTTACGAACATCCTGGACATAATTATTGAACAAGTCGAAATTATGGCAAGGTTTGATGTAGTTTCTTTATTTACTAGTACGCCGATATGTGATGTACTTAATATTATGAAAGATGAACTTGAAAACAATCAAGAAGTATTAACTAAATCTTTATTATCAATAGATGAAGTTATAAAATGCTTAAAACTTTGTTTGGAATCTACATATTTTACCTTTAAAGACAAACTATACTGTCAAACAAATGGAGTTGCAATGGGTTCACCAGCATCTCCAATTGCAGTAAACCTATATATGAAAGCCTTAGAAAAGAAAGCATCGATAAGTTTTAGTGGTCATCCTAGAATATGGTGGAGATATGCAGATGACACATTTATCATTACAAAGAAAGCTGAAAAAGAAAGCTTTCTAACAGAAATCAACTTAATCTCAGAATATATTGAGTTTACTAATGAAATGGAATCGGCTGAGGAAACTCTAAACTGACGAGAAACTAAAGTTTACCATATACAGAAAGCCGACACATTCCAACAATTATTTGAATTTCCAATCAGATCATCCTATAGGAATGAAAGTTTCAGTAGCTTTAAATCTCGTTAACAGAGCTAGAAACATTATAACAGATAATGACGCAAAGATGGTTGTTATCTGGCGTAGAGAGGAAATGACCTATGTTGCTAATAAGCATCGTAAAACGTGGAGGGAAGTTAAAGAAGCACATTGAGGAATAAAAAAGCCAGCACCAACAAAAAATGTTTGACTTCACGCAATTGTGTTCTCTGAGCTCGACAGCTTAATCGCGAAGACTTCATCGCCCTACTAGGCAACATCTGCAGTGCATATTTCATTTTGAAGTGAGATTTTAAATTTCTCCACGAGTATATTGGTCATCTCTGTTGGTGGTCCCGAACGTAATTGGTTAATTTCGTGAGTTTTCTAACCCTCTTGACTGCAGTTTGACTTTTTGTGCATGAAAATGTCATCTTATGAATCGATACATTTTATCTACTTCAATTTGCCAGTGGAATTTGACTCAGTGAAATACCAGTTTCCGAAAAGTTATCCGGCGTTCGTGGTTTTCCAGCAGCCTAAAATATGAATCTTCTCCCCAATAAAATATTGTTCAGGGTTGTAAGAATGCTGAGATATCAGGGAGTGGATATTGTGAATATTGAAGGCCAGTTTATGTTCATAGATGCGAAGACAAATACAGTGCCTTCTTAAGGGCCGATGCAACATTTTCAGTGTCATTGCGATTTATCTATTACATCGTTAGTTTCATCTTCTCTCAAAACTGTTGATTTTAGAATTTGTACTATTTTGGCTTATTATTAGTGACATTATCCTTTTTCTCAATATTTGCCTCCACCTGTTTCATTGCTCACATTGGTTATTTTCTGACAAACATCTCACCGCAGTCTTCCTATCTTCTCTTGGAAAAACACTACGTTGTGCTACCGACTTACCTGTCATCTTTTATAACCTTCAACTAACTTGTCAATTTTCCCTACTCAACATTCTACGAATCTATTGTGAGTAATCGCCACCATTGTCTCCCATTTTACAGTATTTTGTAATCGATTTTAGCAAAAGGCGTTTGTCACACAAAATTTATTTAATTTCCTACTTTATAACTAAACTGTTATTCTACGTAAGGACATGTAGCAGTCGCACAACCGGCCATTATTGTAACGACAACGAGTATATTACATTTTATAATTGTAAGAAGCTGACGAGAAATTATTGAAAAGATTAATCTTTTTTTAAGATTGACCTTTTTTTCATGAAATAGGAATATCTCACATTATAAAATATTTTAGGTACCGAAATGAGAGCTTGTATTTTTTTGTGCCTCAGACAATCTGAAGGCAGCTATAAATTGTCCTGATTTGAAGTACTTTAACGTTTTGAAGACTGGATAAACATACACATCAAAAGATCGGCAATGGTCATATTGAGGCATACTGAGGCGATAATTATTCGCGAAATGTGTGAGGTTATTGGATTGACTTTAACTGATATATTTTGTTCGCAAATACATTCTTCCTCTTTGAGAAGTTGTATCGGGTAATTTACGCATTATTCTACAGATATAATCGACAAAAGAATGTATTATGAAACCATGGCAAGTGAAGCAGAAAAAGTTGCAGGCAAAGGAGACCTCGCAACACTCTACTAAAGAACTAGGAACCTATCGGACAAAAGTTTGACACAAATTAGGCCGGTGAAGGATGACAATGGAAACTTAACAGCCGCTTCAGATACGTGTAAACCTTTTATTCCCTTATCAGTAAACGAGTTCGACGAATAAGAATTGAACAGCTTACGAAATATTAATGGGGGTTTCCACGGTGCATCCAATTAACAGTGTAGTTTCTTTATGTGATATCAATATCCAGAGTTCAGTCATAAGCCCTCAAAGAATCGAATGTCTCTTACAACAGAACTCCATTCCAGCCTTTTGATTTTATTGCAGCTTTTTCTATTTATATTTCAGAGTATTGGCTGTGGTTCTCTGTCTATTAGATTTTTTTAAATTCAGAAGTAATTTAAAAATTGCATTGATCCTGAAAGCAATAACAGTAAGTTTTTTTGAGTATCAACTTTATGAGTTGACTTTTTCTTCGAAAGATCACTTTGTTTTTTCTGTGCCAAACACTCGAATATAAAGTAGATTAAAACATGCAACAAAAATATTGTGATCTGATATGAATACTCTACATTCCAAAATATATGTATATATCACTTATATTAAATAAGGAGGTTGAAGACTGATAAGTTAATAAACTTCATTGAATCATTCATGGAAAACGACAGGTAGCGAAAGATTCTCAGGTCACATTCAGATAGGTGACAGCAAGGAGAAATTTTTTATTTATTCCTTTGCGTTCCCCGTGAAACATGGTGCTTCAAGCTACAGGCTTGAAGTTCCAGTAGTGGTGGTGTATGTTTTTACAGGATGGGGTTGCTAGCCTCATGCCCAACCTTCCCTCTTTACCAGCCTTATTACTAGCTTAGTGAGGTTGAGGATTGCGTCGGCCTGGGATCGAACCCCGAACCACCTGCATGACTGGCGAGCATCTTACCGCTGTGCCACCGACGCACTGGTGTCGCTGCCAGGATTGATCAAAATCAGGATCATAATGCATAACAGCTAAATTACATCACTTAGATAAACAATGAGCTATAAGAGAGAGAATTTGAACACTTTACACAGTTGGAAGCGAACCAATTCTGATAATAATAATACTAATGGTGGTAAAAGTATTATTAAAGTGAGTTAAGATAATAGAACTGATAGAAGATTGTTCTGAACAAATCTAGAATCATGATGGAGAAGTATATAATACATAAAAGGACATATTATTATAAGTAAGTTATGTTGCTATGGTAGACTCCAAAGGACCACCATAGCCTTCTCTACACAAAGACCGGCTTAATTAACTCTAATTTGACCAGCCGTTCTATTTGCAAGCAACCGCATATTTGTCTTTCTGCCGATAAAAGTGAATAAACTGACTGCTCCAAATCAAACCAGTAGTCTACAAGATGGCTTTTCAGTCAATCTACTGATACTATGGAAAATGGTGCATTATGCGGGTAGAAAATTTCCATATATACGACTCTAATATTTGCTTCCATAAACACACCTAAATTGATATGCACACTTTTACTCGTCGCAGATGGTAACTGCTATTCTCATGAATAGTGCAGTAGCTGCTGATAATTCTGAGAAATACGTGTTTGTAGCACGTTTAGTTATCATTATTACCTTGTTTAATCTCCGTCTGCCTATATCGTGCAGATCATCCTCTTTGCATTGAAAACTGATATATATATATATACAGCTTTCTTTGTGGGGGCTTATTTCTTTAGAGTGCATAGTGATGCACTTTTTATGACATCCATTCTTAGATTAAAATAACCTTCACAAACATTATTTCACATCCAGCAGCACTGCCACAACATATTCTGCGTCTTATAAGGAATAATGTTCTGACTACTTTCTATTTTATATTGGATCGGAGCAAAACTTTTGATATGTATGTACTGTCGAGTTCATGAAGACTTTATCAATACAGTTCTTTCTACGTTAATATTTGTTAAATTTAACTGCGAAATATCCAGGAATTCAGTGATATTCTTCTTCTCGTGTTTTGTCATGAAGTTAAGATCCAGATGGCATTAGATGAACCTCATCAATAATTTCTGGGCTTCTTTCTGATTCAATTTCACACACAATACAAATATCATCTACAAATGTCGTGGATATAGTTTTTTTTGTGTATCCTGTGGCGATACTAAATTGAAGTGAAAATGAATAGTGGGATTGCAAATACTCTTTGTTGAATGATTTCAGTCTAACATATTTCCTTGAACCGCCTAACTGATTCACACGTTTACCTATCCTTGTGGCTAAGTCTCCAATGAATTTAAGTGAATGACCAAACTAATTCAATCGACAACAAATTCATGACCAGTCTCTGTGATAAGCTTTGCAAAATATGAAGCTGGATGTCGATTAAAGACTCATTAAATCGGATGAATTTATTTGTTCTTCCAGCTATTCATGAATTTCTTCAAAAGCCACAATCTGCAGGGATCTAAGCGTCTCTCCTATAATTCATGAAAAATTCCTATTCGAATATTGATAGAGAGAAGACAAGTAGTTCAGCAAAGAGTCTCTTTTCGGTGAAGTCATTTTCAAAGCTGTACAATCGCAAATATATATGGGTGTTTTGTATGTTTGTCAAACGAAAAGACAATTAGTAAGTTCAGATGAATTGGATGTTGATATAAGAGGGTAGTAACAAAAGTGATGAGTTGTCACAAACGATTGTTAAAGAAGAGTTACGTAATAACATGAATAGTTTGATGAAAGAGTTGTACTCAGGGCGTACATGGAAACAAAATATACGGAATTACACAAGGGTTTTAAGTAGGAAAATAAGTAAACAAACAAAAGTTAAGTCAAATCAGCAGAGTTGTTACCATGGCTACACCTTCTTAAAGTTCCGTCAGCTCTCCTTGTATTTTCAAATCCCTTTCCTTGATGTTAAACATTGAAGGGAAGCTGACGGAACTTTGGAAGGTGTCGCCATGGTAACAACTCTGCTGATTTGACTTAACTTTTGTTTGTTTACTTATTTTCCTACTTAAAACCCTTGTGTAATTCCGTATATTTTGTTTCCATGTACGCCCTGAGTACAACTCTTTCATCAAACTATTCATGTTATTACGTAACTCTTCTTTAACAATCGCTTGTGACAACTCATCTTTTTTGTTACTACCCTCTTATATCAACATGCAATTCATCTGAACTTACTAATTGTCTTATCGTTTGAAAAACATACAAAACACCCATATATATTTGCGATTGTACAGCTTTGAAAATGACTTCACCGAAAAGAGACTCTTTGCTGAACTACTTATATTCTCTCTTATAAACCCTTGACCAAAAATTACTATTAGTTGTTAAACATCTTGAGGAACAATATTGTTAGGGTTTACATGAGAACATAAATTTTGTTTTCACACTTAAAATAAGAACAAAAATCAGAATCCGAACCACTGCACACCTGCCTTATAGGGGATTAGGAGAATAAGAGGATGGATTGTAGTCTTACTGTGCAAACCAGGGACAGTAAGTAGGAAATACAACTCCAGGTTTTCATGTGGACTTTCCATATTACCAGAAATCAGAATAATTTTATGTAAACGAAACTTCGATGCTATTTCGCATGAAGTTATTTTGTATGCAGCCATTTCATTCAAACACACTGATATAATGAAAATGTTCAATTTATTTTGCCAACAGCTTCCACTGTGGTCTGGGAATATCTATTTTATGTGTTGCAAAATGAAAATTCAGTTAGAATGTAACATTATAATTGGCTTCATCATTCTGGAAGACTTGGTAGCAAGTATCTTCTGCGTTTTCACCAAAAGATTTAAACAAATAGTGGATACAGTCTTGCTGTCCATATCGACAGCTTTTCTAATAGCTGGAGTAGTTTTGTTTTTTGTAGATCAAAATAGTGTGAGTCACATGGTCATTTGTATTTCATGACTATTTGATTTGCTTACTATAATTATAAATTTGATATGACTACTACTCACATTTTATTTCAGTCACATATTTTTCTCTGTTGTCTTGGAATCAAACATATCTTCATTAAAAGGGAAAGAGAAATAGAATAATGAGTTATTCATTATCTAGCAAATCATGAGTCACAGTCATCTCTAATGTGTGTGATCTCGTAGACTTAAAATATGCAGACAACATAGTCCTTCTAAGCGAGGACGCTGACAAAATGCAGAGTCTTCTGAACAAATTGAGCTGCAATATACGAATGTTTGGCATGCGATTCGCTCCTGTCAAATGTAAGATAATGTGACAGGAGTGGACTACACTGACTCTTAGTTTAGAAATAAGAAGCGAAGTGGTAGAGCACGTTGACCGTTTCACTTATTTGGGAATTACCATCAGCCCCAACAGGTTGATCTCTGACGAAATCTCAGCACGGATACAGAGGGCTAGTTTCGCATATGCCAGTTTACACCGTCTCTGGCGTAGACGTGATATCCGACTATCGACCAAAGGGCGTGTATACTGCTCATCAGTCCGCTCCGTCCTCTTTTATGGCTGTGAGACCTGGCCAATGAGAGTGGAAGACATGAAAAGTCAGGCTAGCTGTCTTTGATCATAGATGTCTGCCTTCTATCTCCCGTGGTAAGCGGTATAATAAGGTGAGCAATATTGAGGTTAGGTATCTGTTGAGTGCTAGGTAAGGAGAGGAAATCAATCGACGAGGCTGTGAAATTACATCGACTGAGATGGTATGTACATGTGTTACGCATGCGTACCTAATGATCGCCTTCCTCGCCGGGTAATGTCAGCTGACATAGGGTCAGGCTGGAAAAGAGCTAACGGTGGTCAAACCAAAACATGGCATCAGTCAATGAAATCCACAACAGTTAGTTGAAGCCACGAAGGGAGGTGTAGACTTCCTGGTTGGGGTCCTCGGGACAGTAAAACCAGTGGTTGGAAACAATAGGTGATATGGCTCAAAATCATTCTCAATGGCGCAGATGCATCCACTCCTTGTGACTTATCATTTCCAGTGAAACTATATTGTTCTTCGTTATTACTACTCCTTTGTCACACACCTCAACTTACTGTCTCTATTATGCATTTTTTATGCTTTCTTCTCTTGCTTTGTGAGCTACGTGGAGTGTGTCAACTCGAACTGCCGCACATCGGTGCAAAGTTCTATGTCGAAAACAGGTAGACAGACTACTGTGTGTGAAACAGCATCTCAGTTATTTGTTATGCGAATGTTTAATAATGTGAAAACGTTCTGTTACGTAGTGTTAAGAATTGTGAAGCTGAAATTCTGATGAATAGAGCAGAAGCATTTCCTCACTCTCTATTTTATATTACAGCTTCTTTGAAATGATGTGGTAACTCCATACTCGTACATAAGCCATTAGCAATTTCGTCCTATTTAGCACAATTCAATTTTATCACCTTTCTACTACGATTTGAATTTTTATATATATTAAATATGCTGCAACTTGTCATCAACATTCTGAACGCAATTTACCTCATCATATTTCAGGAACTTTTGTCTGCATTAGCTGCAGGCTTTTGGAACACTTCTGTTGTTATTGTAAGTTCATGCTTTTGTTTCTAAGTGAAATTGTGAATAAGCTTCAATATGTGAATTGATAAATGTAATTACTTCAGAACATAACGAATTTGTAGAAGAATTTAAGCGTATGTTTATAAGGTTTCATTTCGGCCTTGAAAATACTGCAAATTTTTGAATCAGGTTAACGAAAAAATGTGAATCGTGAATTGTTATTCACTAGAAAAATTGCACAAATTGTAATTGAAAATTTCTACATTCATTTTGTCGTATTTTTTTATTTTATTTCTCCTAGTTGGCTTTGCTTTACGCCAGCTTCTTGAAGTAACTTTAAAACCAATTGGCTCTGTCTCTTCGTATCACGCAATTTCAACTCTTAATCCAGTTTCACATCAACGTCTACATTCTAATGTCTCTGATGGAACAGTCCACATTTCCAGTTTTTAAATCAATTGGTAAATAAATAAAGTAATTAAAAGATTTGTGTTTCCCACGAGTTTTGTCACTTTCGGCGATGAGAGATTTTATGTCCTTGTTGGTGCTTTCCACTATTAAAAGGTTATACATTCTGACGAATAAGCCACCGAATGAAAATATGTTTCAGCCAAAGATACTATATTGCCAAATTCAGGTGGAAATCTAATCATGTCAGTACAGTTATTCAGCGGTAGAGAGAAACTCTTGAAAAATCCTATATACGTGGATGCTTCTAAAACACACATTAAAGAAATATTTAATGTTCATTTTACGTATTATATCAAGTTGCGAAGTAGTGTGGTCTTGAATTTGTTTCATCACTTCATGTTACATACTCTCCGTTGAAAGTTGATAACCTCTGAGTATCATCCATATATGCAGCCGCCCTTTTTCTTATATTCTTTTACTTTACATTTATATTTGGTCACTTATACTGGGGGGCTATGGGAAATTTAAAGGATTGCCGACTTTAGCTCAATCATTAAATGTTATGTTCTTGCATTCTGTTATGCTGACCACACCCAAGTAAACGTGATATATGATGAGTGTCAATAAACTGTATATCCTGTTTCTTTCAAAAGAAATTCAACGATATGCCTTAACAAACTGATGAATTCTTGGCATTCTACACAGGTTATTCTTCCTTCATCTACTTTATTCAGAAGCATATCGGCAGAATGAGAGTCGAAATAGGTGGGGGAGTAATGGTCATGGTGCTATCGATGACACATCAATAGAATGCCTACAGAAGCACTACCCTACCTTGCAGATCCAGTAAAATTACTGGTAGTGAAAGAAGGCTTTTCATGAGGCTAGCAACAGAAAGAATACTGCTACCAAAATTTCAAGCCTCTAGTATTAAGCCACATGCGTCGGTGGTATAGCGGTTAAGACGCTCACCTACCATGCACATGGTTCGGGGTTCGATCCCCGGCCGAAGTACTCCTTTACCTGGCTAAGGCAGGAATAATGCTGGTGAAGTGGAAAGGTCTCAGGCTTTATGTTCTACTGAGAAAGTAACAGAATAAACGAAAACGCTCACTATCGAAGGACGTGATTAAACCACAGATAAAACACAAAGTAAATCAGTGATATATGCAATCTACCCAACAGTAGATTCGTGAAAGACTTAGTTTTACATGCGCCAGTTACGGTGTTATTCAACTGAAAGCTTTCCTGGTACGCGTGTAATTTAATAGTGTGATACAATAGGTGAGAAAATTATGATTCCAAGTAAATATTTCAGCTTTTTCAAATAGTGTAAATCTAGCAATCAGGACATGAGTGATTTATGATTTCTCCAAAGAATTTAATTGTGGACGAATTGCATGAACAAACTGGGATAGTTTTCCATGATAAAGTTGGATTAGAGAAATGAAGAAACAAACAAAGAAAAAAGAGGCATTTAGTTCTGTCTGACCCTTGACCTTTCAATTTTTTAACGTTTTACTTTTGCACAGTCGTTCTCTGAATGAGCCGAATATTAATTTATTCTGCGTGTAGAAAAATTACCAGTTACATGTCCGAAACAAGACAGTATGCTCTATTATCTTCAAATGTTTATTGTAATACAGGTGTAATAACCTTTCAGGAAACTTAGTATCTTTGAATAGGATTCACTATACACAGACAAGACCAACTCAGTCCAAAGTAGAAGTGAAGTGGTGCTATTGCCACTTTTATAATTCTAATTGGTCTGCTGCTCATAACGTCTGCTTCAAATTTTCAAACAATCATACTGACTGTATAACTGTTAAATGTTGACCTTAACACTTGTCTTAGAACAACTTCTTTTTTGTCACCAACATTTTTGTCAAACCAAGTGTCTTGACGATTCATCAGACACATTTCACCTGTGCAGAGAATGGAATATGTATTCCATAATAAGGAGCGAAAACACATCTCCGTCCCATCTTTCATTATTCATAGATCATTTTTACTTACATAGGTGAGGAGAAAGTCAACCACTAGATCATACAGTGATGTTTGTGAAGGTAAGCGAATTGAGTCTCAGTTAGATTTTATTTCCATTTCTCGATTTCTGATGGTATGTGCGGGTTGCTTATTCTTCGCTACTTCCCAGCTGGAAACGCAATTTCTAAGGAAGAAAATCGTTTCTTTAAATATTTCCGTCCTAATGTTTGATTTCGCAATGTTTTATGTATTATCATTTGTTTATTTATTTAAAGAAGTGGAATGTGAACGTTGGATATTTCAACACTAGTGATATTTAGCGGTGATTGCACTTGAAATGCTCCCATACATCGAATTCGGTCAGTATACAAGTGACGATAGAGGGTTCTACACAAAGATATAAATGACATGAATAAATAATATTGTGTTTATGCAGAGTGTTGATATTCTCTGAGACATATATAAACAATCTTACTAGACCATCTCTATTTATCAGCAATAAACGGGACAAACTATGCAGATATGCTGAATTTATGATTTAGCAGGGAAAATTATGTTAACGAGAAATGAAGAAAAAATGAACTGTTTACTTAAGAATAGAGTGAAGTTACTCAGCAGTAGCAGTTGTAGGAGTGACGATTTCACGAGTATTTGAATGCATTCATCTTATTTTACAAACTTCAAATTTGTCCTTTGCTTTCCATTCATTTTTAAGTGTTTTTATTATTCTTAACTACTAGAGGTTCTAATTATCTTCTCAGAAATAATCTATTGGTAGTGTCAATCAATTATTTTTTCAAACAAATACCAAAGTTTGTGGAAAAAAAGTGTGAACACCTAAATTAATGAAAATTCATGAAAAAAAAACCAATTTGGATAAACACTCACTTATTTGTCTTGTGTTGAATCTTATTATGATCGTTATAATGAAAACAATCTGTTCCCAGTATTTTCAGCAGATTCTTTGTTCATTTACTTACACTGCCGTTTAAGATTATCACGTGACGAAAATACAATGTTCTGATTAATTGAACATGTAATAATAGGTCAATAGGTCAGCTAAAAAATTTGTTTGGGAAGGCATGTTTAAGAAAAACCGCGAGAACTTCGAACTGAGTGTATCACATCTCACCCGTGAACTCCTAATATACTGAATGTGTGATGTGCATATTTAATGATTTCAAACCAGGATATGTTAGCACAGAACCTGTGTTAAGTTAGCTATTGATTTCTGAACATAACGTCAATCAAAATGAAGAACTATAGTATATTCATTGCATGGATGTCACTTTATCAGAGTCTAAGGAACGTGTCACGTAACATCATGTATTCCGAAATTCGACCAGAATATTCTCACAAATTGACTTAGAATCATGTATCGTCTTTGGCATAAAGTCTGCATTTTGTTTGGCATGTCAGACGTGTTTGCGCTTGTTGTGCTACTCTGGAACAAAAACATCAGTGCAGATAGAAAAATGCTGGGTTGTCACAGATTCGAAAAATATCGCTAAATTGATTGCACATGGAAATTTGTCACATGATTAAAAATTTTTATGGGCTTCACAGTGTTAAAGTTCACGTTAATTACTATCTAACCATCATAATTACTGCAGTGCATTCTTGGTCGTTGGATGAAGATGACTGTTTCGGCACAGACAAATCTGGCTGATCTGAATATTGTTGCTATCAATATTCTTAGCACAAAGATGATTGTAGGAGTTTCAGAGTTTTGCATGAGACTATGCTCCGACGCTTGATGAAACAGAAGTACTTAATTGAGAATAGTTCTACTGAATTAGTCTGAATTATTGCTGCTGAAGTCCAAAATAGCCACTATCAACCACTGCCATCTCTTTGTGGCAGGTTGTTCAAAAAAATTGTATTACGAATCTTTGTAGGTTATCAGCCTGTCATTACAAGGATGGGTCATGAGGAATCATAATTCAGTTCCTTACATTTTGCCTAAATAGACCGATAGCTTTAACGCCAAATGTACACACTCTCGACACTTTCTAGCAAGATACTGACGAATAGTGAATTCTGTCTCCACTGAAATAGAAACGCTATAATGACGCCTATCTAGCCCATGTCTCAACCTAAACATAATATGGAAAGGACAAAAGCCTTAATAAGACGAAAACCGCTGGCTTTTAAATTCGCGAATACAATTTCGCTGTTGCTACACAGTCGTTCTCTGAATGAGCCTAATATGAGTTTATTCTCCATGTTGAAAAATTACCAATTGCATGTCAGAAACCTGTTGATCTGTGATTGATCTGCTCAGAATCAAGCAGCTAGTGTATTCAAAAAATGTCCTCTTGTCTAACCGGGAGTTATTGATGAGCGATACATGCGACATAGTTATCATGAGTTAATGGAGGATCACGTAAGCAATAAACAGTTGCGGATTTACCTCATCACATAGAGAATCGACTAATTTCATTTATATATTTAATTACAGCTGAATGGGAGCTGCTGTTCTTCAGTTATTTACTTTGTACTCATCGTCCATCATTCAATTGAAGTTACCTCTCAAAATATTGTGTTTTCTAAGAAGCCTTCACTTGGTAATAAAGTGTTACCTTAGATTGTTCCATTTTACAGTTTGAAACGTTCACATTTAAGCCTGA